AAAGTCCGTTTGATTGTAGGGCATGTCCACAAGGTGATTATCTTAAATCCCCTCTGTTACCCGGCAAACTATAGAGTGCAATAGACCATTTTCGATATATTAAAATTCATACTTGGCTCCGAGGCTTGGGGGAATAAAACAAAGGAAATGTATTATTCATTGCTGAGTCTCAAGATGATTTCTTTTGTTTTATTTTCCAAGCCTCGCAGCCAAGTATGAATTTTAAGATATCGGATTTGGTCTTTTGAGTTGCATTTTAAAGCTACGTGTAAGACTTTTCTGTGGATAAATTTGCCACCCTAATATTTGTAGATAATCATTTATGCCAACCATCAAAATCCTTTTTATAGCTAAATTTAGAAGTTCAATACCGGAATTTTTATTGATCTATTTGAGGCAGTTAACATTTTTGCATGTTCACTTAAAAACTATGGCTTACTTAATAAACGCATCTGGGGAAACTGGTTATAATTAAATGCACATCCATATTGTTTTAAGTTATGATTAAAACTAGAGGTTAGAAATTCTAAGCGTATAATGCTGCAGCAGATTCTGGGCAGTGAAACATCATCTGAGCCGAAACGATAAATGGCGATGCACATAGTTCTAATCAGAGCACTTTATTATAAAGCCAATTATATAAAAGTTGTGGGATGAAGGATTACTCGGAGTGAGTTCTTTGTGATTTGTTTGTTAATTGGCCAAGTTGCAGTCATACTTATTTGAAACTGTTTACACGTGCAACAGCGAGCCAAACGTAGCGCAGTTAGAATGACGCAATGAGAGTGCGTAATAAAGGTATAAATTAACTAGTCGTGCCGTAACACCGCTGACTAACATCCTGACAAAAAATTCAGATAGAAACGCCTAAATGGCAACAGGACTCCAAAGGGACCACAGGAGACCAGGGATTAGTTCGCTGCTCGCCTTGGTGATCGAAGCAAAGAGGTAGCCAATAGCTACGAGGGTGCTGTCTGAGGAAGCTGGACTTAAGAACGTTAGAAAGTTGTGACAAAGAAAGAATAGAAACAGAGACAATAATAAAACCAAATACCTTGTATTTTTGAAGAAAGAAAACGAAAAGATAAGTTAAAACATTCGGACGTGACAGTCCAATTAAGTACGCCGAAGCTGTGTTTAGTATGAATAACTCAAACTCCCGACAAATACAATTGACACTCCACGGGAGGTAAATGTCACCGCGAAATCCCAACTGATACAAGGAACACGGATCAAATAGAGAAATTACTCGTAACATTATAGCAGCACCCAATGTAACTTGTATGTACGAAGCGAGCGCAACCAGGTAAATTCAATTAGTTTATACCTCAATTAAAATTCGAAAACCACACTTCGTTGGTCGAGAACATTTTTACAAAAAGATAGCAACAAGGCTACAACTAAAACAAGCCGTGGCAATATAACACTCACCCTTGCTTTAAATGAGTTTACACCTAAACATACCTATAAGTGAATAGTCGTTTACTTTCATGTATTATTAACAACTGTCTCCCAACATAACAATAGGTGGATAGGCCTACTTAAAAGCACCCCTTTTACACCAACTTACCTGGCCGTACCCGATCACTTCTAACTCTGACTGGTTAGTTAAAACAAAAAGGCGCAGATTTTAAAAGCGCTAAAAAGCCGTTAAAAACAAAGCATTGGCACAAAGCTAGAGCTAAACTGAAAAAACTTAAATTTAGTCGTGATTGGTTATTACAAAACCGTTTTCTCCTAATTTTCATCGCGATGAACGGACTATTTCTTGATGCTACTGAAAGTCTCACACCGTAATTTTTAGGGAGTTATTATAACTCCAAAAATGGAGTAAAAATTTTAGGTACAGGATAACCCCTTTTTTGGGGTTATTTTAACTCCTAATTTAACTCCGAATTTGGGGTCATTTTTACTCCTGAAAAAGAGTTCTTTTTACTCCCAGTCTTGGAGTTAAAATTACTCCGAAATGGGGTTACTTGTACTCCTTACAGGGGTTGTTTTTACTCTTTTTGGAGTTAATTTAACTCTGAAAGTGGAGTAAAAATTTTAGGTACAGGATAACTCCTTTTTTGGGGTTATTTTAACTCCTCAATATCTGGGGTCACTTTTACTCCTGAAAAAGAGTTCTTTAAACTCCTTTTTGGAGTTAAAACAACTCCACGAAAAATAACTCCACTGTAAGGAGTTAAATTAGCCCCACTAGAGGAGTTATTATAACTCCCTGAAAATTACAGTGCAGTGTTTAGTTAGCTTGTTGTGGTGTTTTACGCTTCGTAAACCTTCGTAAACTATTAATCTATCGTACCTCATTGACTTAAACTTGCCTCTGACCTATGAACTCTCTCATTCATCTTTTTGTGTTCTTGTTTAATAAACAAAAAGGCTGAAGTCCTCTTTACAAAGAAACAAGAGACTATTATACCGTTTCAAAATACAGTTTTATAGAAAAATAAATAAAATAATGTTAATCTGCGAAGCTTAACGAATTGATTCTTTCTATTTATAAGGATAAAATATATTATAGAGGTCTATCGGGCATCGTTTGTTTCTTGAAAAATCTTACACTGGGACCATCTTTGTGCAAATAAAACCATTTCGATGTTCTATGTTGCCTTAGTGTCCTGTTTTGAGAGGCCAGTAATATCTATATTAGTACGATGGAAGACAGAATCTAACGAGAATAAAGAACGGGTCTTAATTTTATCCCTTAATAACTACTCATGAGCACTTCAGGAAGGTACATTAACAACATTAGGTGTGTTATCAGATGGGATTATCAAACGTTTGTCACAGCCAGTCGTACGCTGTACTACAACATTTGAGGATGCAAGATTTTTTCTATGATCATTATTAGAGCGCGTTCACAATTTATGGGAGAAATTAAGGCAGGAGTGACTAAGCAGGTGTGATGTGATTATCCAATTCCACATTGTGGCATTAAAAATATGAGGGTTCTTTGACGGAGTCACGGTTAGCTCACTAGCAAGAGCGTGAGGATTCGGGGACTCTAACAAAACTTGGATGCTTTTCTTCTTTTAATGACTGTCAGCAACACACTCGAGCACTTTAACCTCTTCAACAGCTCAACTACTATACTACAGCTCAACAACAACGTACTGCACCAAATTTTTGTCAACTTATATAATTTAAACGTAGGTACGTTCACGCTTGCTGACCACAAGAGTAACGCCAACGCCCTTCTTAGTGATTTATGCGAATTTCCTGTTGATCACAAACATGGGTGAAAACAAAGTCACAAGGTTGTACAATTCAAGAACTAGGACAGCAGTAAAAAGCTTTACAACCAAACCGACGAGGCGGCTCGACCTTAAACCTAAACAGGAACTCCGATGTGGGTAATATAACAATCAAGGTCAACTATAACCCCAAACGTACTCACTTCTAGGGCTGACAATCAGACTTAATTTAACCACAAGATAAATGATGACACATATAGACAAACCCAATAAAAAAATAATTACAGTCAAAAAACCTGTTAACACAAATGTGGATTAACCTTGTTCTTCAAACCTAAACATAACGAAACCCTACGCACGAGCGCGAGCTAGGGAACAAAAAAAACTATCGGCAAAATCCTCATGATAAAAATGACTTTTAAAACAAACACAAAACTACTTCACAACAAATATGTCGAGATTCTAACCACCTCGCGGATGCCGATCAATTGTGTTTTTAGACGGTTAACATTTCAGCCATACAACTAACAGCTTACTGGGCAGTTCTGACGCGAGTGTCTGTGATCAATTGTCGGGCGCTTGCAAGGCTGGCGTAAAGCCCATATCTGGCTGTTGCTGGTTCAAAGACGAAGGGGAGACCCCTAAAATGACTCTCCTTTAGCGATATCCTCTAACATATCTTATTTAATGGAGGCACGCTACTTGACTATACATGCTTTTTTTTTCCATTAACCCTTTTCTTTTACTTATGTTGTCTATACAAATTCCCGTCTTTCTATTCATGTTCGAGAAACAACAGTTTTCCACGCATTCATTTCCTCCCCAGCTTCTTGAATTTTCTTAACAAGAGAAAGGAATAAACTTAAGAGGCATAACTTCTTCTTTTTTTTTTCTAAATTTGAAAACGAGATAGCCACGAATTGGTAATGTTTAATTTTAGGACTAAAGACAAGGTCTAAGAAGTTTACTACTTACTGGGAAGATTTAAAATAAAACGGCGTTCTGTTGATACAAGTATTTGCCTGAACATTCTTCGTGCCTTTTTGCTTCGTTATTAATTATTATTATTATTATTATTATTATGTACACTTGTACTCTTTTTGCGCAAGTTTTCTGCAATCACTAATGACATGGGTAACACCTTCACCTCTCTCGTGACACATTAAACACAATGGAGATTCCACACTCTTGTCCGTATTAAAGTTTGCATAATTCGTCCTCAAAGCTTGTTCTTGGGCCGCACAGATGAGAGCTTCAGTGCTGGATTTTAGGTCAGTTTTTTTTTTAGCCAGGTCCATGTCATCACCCTTTTCTTCCAGCTGCCTCAGAAACTGATCATTTATTTTATTCACGTCTCCATGATTTCACTTCTTCTACTGCTTCCTTTTAAATTTCTCTGATTTACAGCAGCTTCTACACCTGCCACTCCCGATGCTTTCACTTTCTCCATCAACTTCCTTCCATTACTGTTCCCAAAGTACCACACACTGTTCTCGTTGCTCGGGATACATCTTTCGCAACTTACTAAACCCCGTCAGCTTTTTCCTCTTGAGATGTAAAGCCTTTTAATTAATATCACTCTTAGGGTGAGGTGCACCATGCATGGTCATCAACTTTCGAGTTTTTCTGTCCAATTACTTCAGCTCCTCTGTTGTTCACTTTAAAGCTCCTGTTCCGTACCACAGCACAGCAACTGCCCATATATGGACTGCCATGATCTTGTTTCCCCCATGAAGTTTTGAGCTCTGAATCAGCTTGAGGCGTCTCTTATATAATTCCTTCTTGAGCTGTTGTTTTATTTCTTCATCGCTTTAATACTTTATTTAGATCTAGAATCCTGAGGTGTCTGTATCCACCTTTTCCCACTTCATTTATTATTTTCCTGTTGGGTAGCTAAGTCTTTCACATCCAACCACCTTAGCTCCAAAACCAACACCCCGCATTTTTGAAGACCCATTCTCAAGCTTATTAATAATTCATAAAGAAAATTCAAAGGAAATTAATGTTTAATGAGTGTTTGGATATCAGATGAAAAACTGCTCATTTTTGCTTCCTTAATTTCTCCTTCAAAAATGATTTTGTTTGAGAAGAAATATCAAACATTCGATACAGTGTTTCATCACCAGATGAAACACCTCGAAGTTCGTCAAAAATACTCCGCTGCGCGTCGTATTTTCAACTCTCTTCTCGGTGTTCAGCATCTGGTGATGAAACACTGCATCTCATGTTTGATATATTACTCCAAGTCCTTACTCATTGTATGCACAGTATTCACAAGGGATTCCATTTGACTCTCCCTTTTCCCAAACAGCTTTAAATCATCCATAAATAACTGGTGATTTAATCATTGTATTTCCTATGATGTAGCCTTTATTCAGTTCTCTCAGTAAAGGGTCAGCGGTAGTGTACATTACAAACAGTAGTGGTGGCAAACTATCAGCTTGAAAGATGCCTCTTCGAATTTTAACTTTCTCTAATCTCACCCGATGATATTAAATTTGTCCAGTCTAACCTTGCATGCTTTCCATTGTAAACACTCTGATGCATATTGTCGGCAATTTTTTAAGAGGTCTGGGCACTCTATTATTCAACTGTGTGGAACCAGGTCGAAAGCTTTCCCGTAATCCACCCATGCCATTGATAAGTTTTTGTCTCTTCTTTCGGCCTTGTAGAATCATCTTATAACTCAACAGATGATCTTTTGCCCTCTAACTTCCTTTGCGGCATCCCCTTTGCTCTTCTGGCAGAAAATTATTTTTAATGAGGAAGTTGTACGTGCTTTCCGAAACCAGCCCGCCTGTAGGCAGATTCCGCATAAAGGGTAGACATGATATATTGGACGATAATTGTCTACCCCATTCCCAGGGTCTTTAAACACAACATTTTTTTTTTTGCCCAGCGTCATCCACTCTGCGATCACCTTCCTCCCATTCAGAACATCGTCAAGCTGTTCTGCAATTCGGTCATGAAGGGAGGTCAGCTTCTTTAACCAGAATCCTTGAACGCTGTTTGCTTTGTGCTCTTATCATTTCTTCCGTGATAGTCACTTTGTCTTGCTTGACAATTCCGTTCTTTGTTCACAGTTCCTCCTTTATTCAACCTTTATTTAAAAATTCCTAGTCTTGCAAAAAGAGTGCCATTGCGCAAGACGTCTAGCTTAACATATAAAATTAAGTGTATAATAATGATAGTAAGTAGGTTGAGTACGGTCCGGGTGTACGTAGTCGAAAAGGACTGCTGTTATTGACAGTGACTGGCGTTTCGACAGCCTTTGCCCTAGTCATCTTCAGAGTCAAAGCGATTTGTATCACGTCAGTTGATGGTATTGGTCGTCAGCTGGATGTTATTGGCCGTGTGTCAGTTTAGCCGTGATGTTATTGGCAATGCATATGAAGACTCGTAACTCGTCAGTTAGGCTTTGACAGCTTTTGCTCGCAAAAGTGGCATAATATTCTACTTAGCAATGTTCGTTTATTTCTAACATTATGCCATTTATTAGTCTCTTTTATTTTGAATTACGCTAGTCAAAAATGCAGAAATACTGATAGCTTCTACTGTGTACAAGTAAATGGCAAACCCGTTCACCCTATTTACATCTAGAAACTTTAACTATAAAAAATTGCGATAAAACATTTCTTAATAACATTTTAAGATTTAAAAAATTGCTAAAAAGCGACGACGTTTCGACGTTAGCTGAACGTCATTATCAAGTCAAAATAAGTTAGTGATTTTTGGTCTATAAAAACTAAAAAAAAAAACAACAATAGCTGATTAAAAAATTGTAACGTGAGAAAATATTAAACAAAGAGTTTCGCACGTATGGAGTCCATCTGAATATTTAAATTGGGCTTAAGCTTCTTGATGAAGAGCATTTCAAATACTAAACAATCAAATTTGCTCTGGCACTTTCTTAAAACCGTGAATTGGCTTTCTCTCAAAAGGTTGTTGTTACCGTGAGCTTCTAAGAAATGTCTACCGATTGCCGAATTTTTGTGCTCAGCAATGCGTTGATGAAGGTGTCGGGCTGTGTACCCGACATAATCTGCATCGCACAGATCACATGAAAATTGGTAAACAACACACTGCTTATTAACAATTGACGGCTTGATTTCTTTGGGTCTAAGGTCTTGCCCCAATTTCTTGCTCACGAAAACTGGTTGCAAAGTGGGAAACTTTGAGAGTGCAAAATTCATTGTCTGACAACTATTAACAACCAGCACGCGGATGCCATCTTTAGTTGGTTAACTGAATTAGTTATGGGCATGCATTGAGTTCTGTGCAAACAGTCGTGAGTCACTTCCTGAAGAGAAAAAATTAATTTCGTTAATTACGTCAATTTGCCTGTAAGATTGAGCTCGGCTCGGTTGCATGATCAATAAATGACCATTTTGTACTGCAAAACTAGATAAAAGGGCAAATATGCCAGTAGACGAGTGCTATTTTTCGGAAAATAGGTGAGAATAATGCTTGTGATGACAAATTATGCCAAAAATTATGCTAGCACAATCTTTCAAAGCCTATAATAGCAGCTAGCTTACTTAAAGAAACTAGTGCCTTGAGAAGCCGAAGTCATGCAGCTATCCTTGAATTGGGCGCTGAGCTATTTACTAAATGCTTTGTTTTAAACTTTTTACTTGACGAATGCCAACTTTGAAAGCAGGTTGATGCACAGTATTGTGCAAAAGAAATGAAAGCTGATGTCGCCGAAATCTGCGAATTTCGGCGAACAAATTGTGAACTTTCCATTCAGACGAAAAAGTGGCTAAATCTTGGTGCATCTATTGTTCTAACGTCGACGAAATTTCGCATGCTTGATGATGAACCGAAACGAAATTTCGCAGGTGACTTCAACTGCGCTCTTTCTGAAAATGACAAAAAAGGTGGAAATCCAGTTTGGAAAAAATCCATAGTAATTAAAGAAGTTCAGCATCTTGCGAACCTCTATAATTTAACAGACATTTGGCGCGATCGCAATCCGAACGACAACTGCTTCACTTGGAGAAACAAATCGCTAAAAATCCAATGCCGACTAGACTTCTTTTTAATATCAAAAGAACTCAGCAGTGACACACATGCTTGCAATATAATTAACGCCCCTGAAACTGATCACTTTGTTGTCACTTTACATCTTAAGACAGAAGATTTATTGCAACCTAAAGCTCCTTTTTTTTTTTTGTATTTTATTTATTTATTTTCTTTTTACAGGTATAGTACAAACAACATACAGATCGAAACATACAAACATTACAAAAATTTACAACAACTACCTTAATTACAAAAAAAAATAAAGAAAATAGAATAAATAAATAAAAAACTACACTGCACTACACTACAAGGCTTACATAACTTATTCAACTTGAACTTAAAATACAGAGTAATACAGGGAGTATTAGAAAAACGAAGTTTGGATAACAGCTACTGTTGTATTAATGGGAGTAACGGCTTCCATTTTTTATCATGGAAATGGATTTTGTTGTTTCTTTTCGCGATAAAACGTTCGGTTTGAAACGTTTTTTTAAATTTATCGACTAACAGTCTTACACATAAACAGCCCTTATTTAACTTACAGCGGTAAATAAAATATTTGCTTTCAAGAATGATGTAATTGACTAGCATGCTTATATTATCTGTATCTAAGATCCCAAAAAGGACATTCATGATATCAAACCTAATAGTTATATTAAAAGAATCAAGTACAGACTTTAAATCATTCCAAAACATGCTTACTTTTGTACAATGGAAAAAGAGATGTTCTATGGTCTCCAACTCTTTTTCACAAAAATCGCACAAGGGAGAATCTACTTTTTTGAACTTAAACAGCATCTTGTTCGTGTATAAGATCCTGTTTAATATTTTATATTGGAATTCTCTTAATTTAGTATCCAATGTTGTTTTGAAGGGCAGTAGATATATCTTTTCCCAGTCCAACTGAAATGTGTGTGTGCTGAAAGCTTCGTTATATTTTTTTTGCGCTGTTGGTATACTGGATATCTTAGAAACAAAACTGTCATATAATGACTTGGATTTAAGATTTTGGAAATTGACTTTTTTCCCTTCAATACGTAACTTGAAATCAGTTTGGATTAGATCATGAGTTTTTGAAGAGATAGAGTTTTTATTGGTTTTTAATATTTTGCGCCATTCTTCAGGAAAAGCATTGAAGAGACTGAAAAGTAGAAAATGTTCAACTGGTGAGAGAGTTGAATATAATGGTTCCTTGTTCGACTTGAACCCTCCCCACGTGTCGTAGAGGTCTCCAATTTTTACAATTCCAAGATCAATCAGCCTACTGTTATAGACTGACTTCGATCCAATGCAAATGAACTGGTTGTTCCATATGACCTGATTTGCTATTTCAGAGGATGAGGAGGGGTTGTCTTCATTTAAAAGGGGCCACGCCACAATGCATTTTCCCCCTACTTTCTTAAGATAAAAATCCAGAAAAAACTTCCAGCCAGCGGGATCAATGGAGAGATATCTCTTAATACAAATTATTCTTTGGGCAGAGATCATTGACTCAATGTTGGGCATTTTCAAGCCTTCTTTATCAATAGGGTTAATAAAAGCTCTGCGCTTTACTTTATCTTTTCCCTTCCAAACAAAGGAATATAGCAAAGTATTTATTTTTTTGATAAACTCTTTTTTATTTGAAATGAGAACAAGCCTGTATAAAATCTTTGGTATGGCGAAAGACTTGATTACTTGAATTTTTCCAAGTAGTGTAAGACCTCTCCAGCTCCAGCCCTTCAGCAATCCCCTCAGAGATTTCTCGATTGATTCAAAGTTAAGCTTATAAAACAGTGCGTGATTAAAGGTGAAATGAACCCCTAGGATCTTTATGGCCTTACTTATTTCATTAACACCTAGTTCTGAGCTGTTTACTTCCATATTTCCTAGTAGAAGAATTTCCGTTTTGTCGTGATTGACCTTCAGTCCGGAGTATGTACTAAACAGATCGATAGTATCAAAAAGGGTGCGATGCGAAAATTTGTCCCTAACAAATGATGTCATATCATCAGCGAATATAACTAATTTGATTTCGGAACCATCCACCTCAATACCCTTAATTTGATCATTATTACGTATGGATAATGCCAATAATTCAAGTACTATTATGAAAAGAGATGGCGAGAGTGGGTCGCCCTGGCGAACACCCCGTTTAACATTGAAAGAGGGGGTGGAAAAACCATTATTGAAAACACAACTTGATATATTATTATAAAACGTCTTGATCCACCCCAAGAAGGATTCTCCAAAGCCAAAGAACTCTAGCGATTTGTGGAGGAAGTTCCAATTTAGAGAATCGAAGGCTTTCTCAAAATCAAT